CTAAATCCCCTCAGATTGAATGTGCTCCGAACTTCCGCTGCACATCTTTATTCCAAAGAAAATCATCTTTTTATATTGAATTCTTTCTATTGAGGTGTTGTGCAATAATATCTTTAGGTTGTTTTGTATTCAGTCAAATGATTGTCCAATGTGCCTAATGCATAAATCCACAATAAATTGAACAGAAACAAATGAATCTCCAGGGTTGACACAGTTCAGTCAATAAAGGCTTTAACTAAGATGGGAAAATAAAACTATGGTGGCCAGACGTTTCTGTCTGTGTGTGCGTGTTAGTGTGTACCTATCTAGCCCTCAGAGTGAGGACCAGCTGTTGTAAAGTGAGGACATTTTGCCAGTCCTCACACTGTTTTGCTAATGGTTAGTTTTAGAGGTAAGGTGTTAGTTGGGTTATGGTTTGGGTGAGGTATGCATTAGTAATGGTTAAAGGGGAACGCCGTTTCTTTCCATTGGTTCCTTGATTTTCCGTTATTCCATCATGTTCTACTCTCCCATATGAGTTTAGTGTCATTTGGAGCCGTTCTGAAGATATTCCGTCAGGTTATATCCAGTAACGTCTTCCTATGGGCAACGACTTGAAGGCACAAACTAAACTGTTCATCATTTATTCTTTATGGTATGCCAGCATTCAGAACATCCGTGGTTATATTTTTTATATTTATATCTTTTAAAAACAAAGCGGTGTGTATATGACATCATCAGCGCGCGCTTGCTACCTTTCCTTCATCCTGTCCGCTAAACTGCTGCTAGTTTTCCTCTCATGCCTGGAAGATGTCTAGTGCTGCTACCACAGATGATCTCGCTCTCCAGATGAACGATTCAGGTTAGCTAGAATGAATAGAAGCGGTAGAGCGTAGCCGCCTGTGGCCCGGGCTGCCTGTTACGACTCCAGTCCGCCACGCGGATGACGTCATACACACGCTGCTTTGTTTTTAAAAGAGACGGCAATCCATTGATGAGCAGAGTGACTGAGTTGAGACATGAGCCTTTGCTAGAGGGTTCAAGTAGATGGGAGCCGTACCCTTTAGCACTCTGTAGGCTAGCATCAGGGACTTGAATTTACAATAGTCTAGGCGGGAGATAACCATAGACCTGACCAGGAGCTGGGTAGCATGTTGGGTTAGGTATGGCCGGATCTTTCTAATGTGGTGTGAAGCGACAAGATCAAGAGACAGAGGTAACATGATCTAAAAGGTCAGCTGGTCTTCAATCATGACATCAAAGTTTCTTGCTGCCTTTGATGGATTCAGAGAGAGGGACCCGGTCCAGGTGTGAATATTGTGGTGTATGGGTGGTTTGGCTGGGATAACTGTCATGGTCTTGGCGTTGATGGTTGACTTTCCATTTGCTCCTGCTCACCTGTCCCATTGGCCCAGCGGCTGATTAAACGCTGATGGTTTTCACCTGGTTTCTCAGCTATTTATGTTGTTTGCCTGCTTTCCATCAGTGCCAGATTATTCAAGTTGTTTCGGTGTAAGGAACTCTAGTGATCAAGTAAGTGTTTTGATTGACTTTTTGGATTCTGACCTGTTTTCTGATTGATGATTCTGATTCTTGCCACACAGTTGGATCCTTAAACGCTTGGAGCTATAGAACACATGGGGAGTGATGGCCTAGATGTTAGCGCCGTGCGCTTGTGTTCTGAGAAGGTTGCAAGTACCCGGTTTGATCCCCACAGCCTGCCACTCTGGGTCCCTGAGCAAGACCCTTGTGAATTAAAATGAGCACTGAGAGTTGATATGCAAGGAAGAAAAAGGTTTATTTTACTCTGCAGAGGAGAATGACACAAACATTTGAAATGTTAGTGTGGCTCTGGAAGGGTAGCTTCCCACACAAACCATGAGTCTTCAAAAGGAGGCTGTGTGAACTCATTATCTCTCATGACCTTCCCGTCACCCTTGTCTTTAGTAGGGAGGCATCTACTTCCTGTCCCCCTAAACAGTACAGCATAGTCAGGATGTCTCTGTCATTACTCCTACTCAAACAGGCACACTCAAAATATTTTATCTCACAACATAGGCCAAGAAAAAATGTGACTCCACACTGCTCCCCAAGCGCCGCACTATGGCAGCCCACTGCTCCCCAAGGGGATGGGTGAAATGCAGAGGTACATTTCTCAATAAAGTTCAATTAAAAAAAGAGAGAAATGTGGTTGGATGGTGACTAAGAGAGGGAAGCTAGTCCACACAGAGGGGCTCTCACTCCCAGAAGGAACAATAGCAGACAGTAAGGACAGATAAAGGTATCTTAGAATCCCACAAGCTAATTGAAACCTCAGATGCCTCCATCCCTGGAAATACAGCAGACATCTCGGTCCAGAAGAGTTCAGTTCTAGGGACAGCAAAGATACGCCTGCTGAAGACACAGACGTCCATCCCCGTGAACACTGGGACGCAACTCAATGGGAAAGGAAAGGATTCTGGTTTCAGCCGTTGCGTATATTAGCTGCGACACATGAATCAAGATGCTATGACCGAAAACATTTGATTGACAGATGACCGCTGATACATGATTGGCTGAATTTAGGTGTTCAGGCTGACGTAGAACTAACTGGCCTGCAGAAGATAACCGAAAAAAACACAGATTAAAAGAAAAAAGATTAAAACACAGGATTTTTTTTTTTAAATAGAAATTTTCTATATTTTGGGACATTATGGTCTGATAAACAGAACATTTATATAGATATTTAAGCCAGAATGATTTGACATTTAAATATGGCTTCCCTAAGACTTTAAACTGCTCTCCACCTCCATTAGTAGATTGATCTGCTCTTCTTCCAGACACTGCCTGACTGACGGACTCACTGACAGCATGTGGCAGTTACCATAGCAACGATGCGTGTTGAAAGTGCGCAGCGTGTTTGCAGAGTTTATAGAAGTACTTGTTTTTATTAGATAGTCCTTTTAGTCTTATTTGTTCAAATATAAAACACTTCGCAGTTTAGTGGGACACCTAGATTAGTGTCCTAGATTCAGTTTCAGTGTAATTTATCTTTAGAGTTTATATTTTACAATTTAGGCAAAATATAAATAAAAAAAATACAGAGGACATGAACTCAAAGGTAGTTAGGACCCTGGGTGTAAGCTCGTCTGCTTCTTGCTGTTATTAAATGTGATAAATTAAGACTCGTGATTTATCTGGTTTATAAACATTTTTATTAAAAGTATCAAACAATTTCAATCCTTCTCTAGAAAAGCTACAAGGAACAACAACTCAACAGCGCCCCCTGTAGTTTGGGCAGCAAATGTAAACAAGTAAAAATTATTTCAAAATAAAATCACATAAAAAACTCATTTGATGGAAAGGTGAAACCATGATCCCATCACCACCGAATAACTTCAACGAGAAACGGCAACAAAAAAAAATCGTTCAAATAATTTAGCGTCAAGTATTTGTTTAGGAATGTAAACAGAAAAATAAATATAGCAGGGTAGAAACCTTTTAAACTGAATCGAAAGACTTAGATCCAAATTTCCTGAGGTTATATTTGACTGAATGAGACAGATTGATGTTTGGATCAGTCCAGCTGAATCCATAAGAACTGTAGTGACCCTGCAGCACAGAAAACAAAAGACAAGGAGAGAACTGAAGCCATTCACGGGTTTTCTTTAAGCAGCGCTGCCACCTGCCAGTGAAAGCAGTTCATACACTGCATGGATATCCTCAGGAAGTCGAAATCTGCTGCTGGATCGCTGCTGGGAGTGGAGCAATTTGTAGAGTCCAGTCCAGATACATTCTGTAATTAAAACAAATCAATCAATCAATCAATCAATCAATCAATCAATCAATCAATCAATCAATCAATCAATCAATCAATCAATCAAATATGCATTTTATTTCTCTTGTTTCTTTTCTTTCTTTAAAATGAATTTCTGTTAACTTTGTTGCTTTTCTTTAATCTCTAGATAGATTTTTAATCCCATTTTCTTCACCATCTCTCTTTTTTTTCAGTTTTTCTTTCCTGCTTTTCTTTCCACTCTTTCTTTATCTCTCCTTTCTCTCCTTAAACCATCTAACAGTGACTCACCAGGTGTAGCAGCAGGTCCCGGTTCAGGTCAAGCAGCAGACAGAAATGCTCAAAATTTGAAGAGAAGGGTTGGAGGTTCTCTGCACAGGTCTGCAGGTGAAGGAGCCTATTGGCCAACAAGGAGGTCTGCAATAAAAAAAAACATTTCATTAGAAAACGTGTTTGAGCTTTTGTCAATAGCAGAATAAAACTGCATCCAGCTGCAGTTCATCTAGTTCTCACTTTCACTTTCATCTAAAAGCTGTTTAACGTTTTAAAGTCAAATTCCTTTAAAGGGAGATAGAAAGAGTTTTTTCTGTTACAGGCTGCTGACGCCAAACAGCCTAAAGATTCAAATATCCAGTGAGTGGATGTTACTGAGGTAAAACTGGACGACTGGTTTGAGCTGAAAAAAAGGCAACAGCAGCTTAAATAACTGCTGGTTCCAACCAGAATCACCAGAACACCATCTTGAATAAATATGTGCAACCATAAAGTACACGCCAGACACCCTGTCTACTTTAAGGCTAGGCTTAAAACTTTCCTTTTTGATAAAGCTTCTAGTTAGAGT